TCGAAGGGGAAGCTTTCGAAAGCGATCTGATTTTTCGAAATTTTCTTGGATTTCTCGAATTTCGTCTCTTCTAATTTAATATATATGTATGTATGTATAATAATTTTTAAGCATACTTTCCAATTTTGAAGAATATCTTTTCTTTTTTTTTTATCTTGTTCTCTTCTCCAGATTCCTTTTCTCGAAATCGATTCGAGAAAATTGCTATTCTACCGATTTAGAAACTGGTTGCTAACTCCAAAGTACACAGAATTTTGTAAGTTGTGAATTTAGAAATATTTTCTTTTAGGTGAATCATGGTTGGTTTAGAGAGAGAGAGAGAGAGAGAGAGATTTTAATCGAGGCCACGTCGTTTTATCGAGTATGTAACAAGTATCGAATGTTTGATGTTGCTTAACGCTGTTTCATAAATGTACATCGTTAATTTGTAAAGCTTTTCAAGGTGCCTAACCGTTCGGTATCACTTTATACCAACAAATATGCGAGATCGTTGTGTAAGTCGTTCGTTTTGAATAAAACGAATATAGAAAGAAGAAAAAAAAAAAAAAAAAGAGGAAGTTTCGATGCTTAAAATACTTTCCTAAAATTTCGCTAACAATACTTCTATCTAACAGATTGTTCAGATACAATTTTATTTAAAATATATCTCGTTTCCCGATTCATCCTCGTTTTCCAAACTCGATTATTAGAAAATTATTACGAAAAAGTATTACGAATCTCGAGAACGAATCAAGATTGACAAGCATCGAATTCACATCATCCTTCGTTTCTTCAAATTCTTCAACTGTATTAAATCCACTTCAATTTCTCCACGTACAAACGTTGAAGAAGGAAAATCGGGAGAGAAAAAGAATCGTCGTTCCCGATCGTGACATTCGATTGTTCGAAATGTGCATTCAGACCCACCAGCATTTTTCCTCGCGTTTGAAGAAAGACAGAAGCGGTCGAAGCGTAGCCCGGGGCTTCGTGTAACCATGAAGTTTATAACACGAAGAGAGAGAGAAAGAGAGAGAAGAGAGAGAGAGAAGGAGTGTGCTTTCACTTTCCAAGAGGCAGGCCAACGATTGACATCATCATCGGTGTCGTCGTTCCTCCGTGTCCCGGATTCCCTCCGTCGACTTTCCGCCCGACTTCCGGCAAACCGGCCGATTTCGCAATCGAATTTATTTCGTCGTCCGGCACTCGATGCAATTCACCGGCCGAATCAAATCGACTTAAACGGCTTCAATTAACCCATGCTCATCATTCGTTCCCCCCATGTGACCCGTCATTTTCGTTTGTTCCAACCTTGTTTCCGTTTCGTTTCTTTAATCATGGAGGGGATTTAGGGGAAAGTTTCGAGATTGTTTTCAACCGAAAATCGAGGAATTTGGAGAGGAGAGGAAAATTGGAGAATCGAATTTCTCGAAATTCGCTTGAACTCGATTTAAAATCGAGAAGCGATTACTTTTACTTTTTTGAAATCGAATCGCGCAAAAAAAATTTTCGAGCGAATGTTTCCTCGAGTATTCGAGTAACATTGAAATTCGAAGGAATCGTTGATACTTCGATCCATCGAGATTAATTCTCCGAAATTTTTAATTCGGAATTATACTTTCAAGTTCGAAGAATTTCGAAGAGTTTCTCGAAATTCGCGTCTGTTTAAAATTGAGAAACGATCGACGAGAATTTTTTGAAATCGAATCACGCAAAAGAAATTTTCAAGCGAATGTTTCTTCGAGTATTTGAGTAACATTGAAATTCGAAGGAATCGTTGATACCTCGACCCATCAAGATTAATTTTTAATTCGATGATATTTTCACGTTCGAAGAATCGAAAAGAAAAAAAAAAAAAATGGAACAGAGATTTCTGAATTTCTCGAGACAAAGAGCCATTATTGTCGCGAGATTAGATTTAGGAAGATCGTTAAGTTCCGGTAAAAGCGTCGCTCGATATAATGCAAGTTGCATTATAATAGAGGGAGCTCAGGTGGCCGAACGTCTGCTAGATCTGGTTCCAATAATAAATGAAGGTTCGACCAACGCGGCTATAGGCGGAGGTGGCCGCGGTTTTAAGGTCGCGTGGCGAATTTCGGCCGGTGGAGATTAAAAGTGCGTTGACATCGTTACGTCAACGCGTTTAAATTGGTCGGATCGCGTTGCGGAAACTAACACGCGCGAGGCCTTATGTAAAGCCTTCTAACTTACATAAATTCGTTCCTATGGCGAAACTTTGCATTCTCTATTCGAAAAAAGAAAAAAAGAAAGGAGTGGAACGAAATCGATATTCTTTCGATATTCAATATTTTCGTCCTCTCCCCCTTTTTTTTTTTAATATTTCGAGGAAATTAAATCGATCGAGATTTTAAGATTGATCGATTGATCGTCGTGAAAAATTAATCGTTGTGGACTCTTTTGTCGCATGAAATATCATCGGATATCTCGGTGTGGCAGATATTTATCCAGATTTTTTTACGAGCATCGTTGCAGGAATTGAGATAAAAATAATTTCGCTCTTTAAATATTCCGTTTTGAGTTTAATTTCAAGCGACTCGTTTCGTGTCGAATATATTAATCGTTCAACAGATTGAAATAGAAATAAAATCGATTCTCTTTCGGTTGGAAATTTTCTTCCACGATTCTTTCTCTCGCGCGACACGTGTTAATCATCTCCCACTGTACTGTACTTTACCGTACTGCTTCTGGGTTGAAAAGCTTCCATCGAAAGAGATCCAGATGCGGAGTGTAGACTCTGGTGGAGGAGAAGAAAAGGGGAAGAAAAAAAATTGCAATGGTAAATCGAGGTCGTTCGCCGCTCCACTTTTCCGACGTCGATATTAAAAATTAGCGCGGTCCTCTGTTACGCTGCAGATCAGAGCGAGGCGGAAAATCGCGCGTGAAACTTCCCTGCCAGACTTTCCCCCGCGACTTTGAGAAAATTAAATCGAGAGTACGATCTGGAAATTCGATAATAACGTTTTCTCCTCATAGGAATTGTAATATAGCCTTTCAACTATTTTCTTCGTGGTAAATAGACGATACTTCCATTCCAAATATATTTCAATGTTTATTACAGATTAAAAAAAAATGTTAACTCTTTGGAAGGGTAAAATTAATAAGTTGGAGAAACAAACACGGGAGGCAAGAAATATACTTTCTCATATACTTTATTTATATTCCACAAAACGGTTAGTTTCTTTATACAAATCTTGCTCGAAAACGAGCTCGAAATCTGCATCTTTAAAGAACTATCAAAAATAGATCTTACCCACGATAACTATCCAAGTGTAACTCTTTAGATGCCCAGCCTCCACCGTTGATTTTTCCCTAGTTTCCTCGCTCACGCACACGCGTGCCGCTTAATAAGAGAAAGGACACGGATTCGTCGTGCTCGTCCCATCTCCTTTCCTCCTCGCGTTGCGCATAATTCCATCCCCTTCTCGCCAACGCGCCTCTCTTTCTCGATCTTTCCGCACGGACGCATGCGTCAGTGATCTCTCAAGGCCTTCGCGCATTAACGCCGAGTACTGTTTGCTTCGTCCCACTTTCCTTAGCGCCCGGTCAACGACCCGGTGGGTAGGTGAGTTTCCAAGGTGCACCAACACGTATACTCGTCTCTCTCTCTCTCTTTCTCGATTCTATTCCATCCGAGAATACATCGGCGCCGTACAGTGTCTCTCAAGTTTCGCCTCGATAACGCTCACACCCCTGCCGCGTTCGTTTAAACCGTTCGTTTCCACCCCTTTTAGGAGTGGAGAGGGATAAAAAAAATGGGTATTCCACTCGGGGTATACTTGCTGACAAACACAGCTGGCAAGTGTGCTTGGGACTACTTGGTTTTCGTTGGTTTGGGTCAGGGCTAGATTTTCTGGAGGGTGTGAAGAGGGACGCGAGGTTTCGCTCGAGAGATATGCTTCTAGGACGTTTATTTTTAATTGAAGTTTTGTCGGCGAGAAACCGTGTAATTGCGATTCTCTACGCTGATACTCTTTGGCGAGGTAATATAACGTCACCTTGATTCTCTGTGATAGATTAGGGAAGGAATTTAGAATCGTGTTATAAAACGTATTTATTTTCCAGATTACGCCTAAAGAGGGATTCTTTTTTTTATCGAAGTTTGTTCCCGAGAAATCGTTAGAGGAGCGAGGACTGTACGTCGAGGAATTATGTTACGTGGATGGATTAGACAAAGACAGATCCTTCAAAGTAATCGTATTTTTTAGGTTATGTATCATCCTTGACTCCCCGTCACGATCTGAACGAACGAAATGATTTTTTTAACGAGAAGAAATCGTGAAAAGTGTCGCGAGAAAAATGAATTTAATCGCCAATATATCAATATATATATATATTCGGAGGTCTGAGTGAATTTACACGCGACGACAATCGCAAAATAGTTGTGGCGCTCTCCGCGACGAGGCGCCACTGTCCTTTCGCGAATCACGAGCCGCGAGTCGGTACTACAGGAAATCCGCGACTCGTGGGTCGGTATCGCTACGTGCAAATTTCTTCTGATAACGTTATCGCCTAATAGATACCAGAAGGATCAATTTCGGCTACCCTTTATTGGCGGGAATTTTGAACGTTCCCGGAGAAAGCAATGGAGAAATTCTCTGGAGAGGTGGTTAAACGGAGAAGGACCTAGGGACGATTCTCGACGAGTGACCCTCGTTTACGGATTTATTCTTAACCTCATAATGGGGGTCTTGAATGTCGAGGTTTTTTTTTTATGTTGTAGAATTTAGGATCGTGCGGATTTACGAGTCTCGTAATAATCTCGTAACGACGAGCTTTAACTTTTTTTGCCTTTGTTCAAAATCTGTAACGAGAAATAAAAATTAAAAACCTATTAACCATCGTCGGAGTTACACGTTCATCGATAAAATTTATACGGGATGTATTTATTTCTGGAGGAACGATCTTACGTGGCGATTTACCAAACTCGCTCATTTATTAACACCTTCTTTTCTAAACCATTCATAACCACTCATTAACGTCAATTTTACATTTCTCTGTTACAGGTAAGTCGTCATGGCCTTCGTCACATTAAACCAGAACATATACACAGTAAGTGGCATACATATAAAATAAATAATCATTAATTAATTAAACCGATTCTCGATCGATCGATAAAAAAAAGAAATAGAAGAAGCATCTCTTTTCTTCTACAAATCATACTCGATAACGCGTGTTACTAAACAACGAGATAACGTGGAATAATAAAAAAATGCTCTCCTCCTCCTTGAAATGAGAAAAAACGTGCCAGCCACCCGGTACAACCACCGCCCGGATGTACACCCTATACGAAAAAAAAAAAAAAAAAGAAAAAAATAAGCCCGTCCCTCTGAATGCACGGTACTCGACCAACCACCCTCCCCTCGTTGATGAAAAAAGCCGGTGGTTGCGGTAAAAGCGTCTCGACGTGCGTCATCATCAGTCCACGCAGGAAGCGGGCACAAAAGAGGAGGTATCCGGAGATATCCGCGAAAGACGAAAGGGTCGCACACGTTCGGGATCGCGTGGGTTACGCGCGCGCGAGAGAGAGAGAGAGAGAGAGAGAGCGGCGCAGGCGCGAGACGAGCCCGCTCTCGTCCCCCCTCCCCCTCCACCCCATTCATGGACATCAACCCTCGAGTGTACGCGGTGCGCCTACCATTGTGGCACACCGACAGTTGTCCGGACACGTTGTCATTAGTCGCGACGACAGAGAGAGGGGTTATGTCAGCGGACGTGGCGCGCGATGATCCATCCGGGATGGTCGATCGCACGGCGAGCAGCAACGGGGTGCCCATCTATCCCATCGAGGTGTGCGAGGCAACCATCGCGGTCAACGAGACGCAGAATCCCGAGAGACGTCATCTACGCGTCAAAGGTTCGTCCTCCTATTTTATTTCTCTCCTTCCTCGTCTCCACTCTCCAGTTTTCTCTCATTCGTCTCGTGAATTCGAATCGTACGAGTACTGTTATAATTATCGTTCGAGTATTCGGGGTAGGTGAAGGTATTGGTTAGGTATTGGAGTTTGTTTTGGTTCGTTTGGTTTGTTTATACTGGGTTTGGAGGATGATGGATGTAATATGGTGGCTCGAGGATCACGGATGATGGGTCCTGTGTACAGGTGGTTCGTTAAAAGTGTGTACATATGTACAGGTTTTGGTGGGTTTTGGTGGTTGCGCTTGATTGCGTATACGATCGGGTCTTAGGGGGTTGGTCGAGAGGATAGGTGGATATTTCGATTATTTCGACGTTTTACGACGTTTGCGAACGTTATTTTTGATCGCGGTTGGACAGGTGTTGCAAAAAAATATCGGCCAGTGTTTTTATTTTTGTTTTCCATTCCCCATTCGTGTCGTATTCGTGTAGACTTTTGCTTGGAATAATCGTTCCCAGAATAATCCTTCTCTTAAAGAGGAACTTCGCTACTTCAAACGCGGCTTTAACTAGCAGCTGGTCGAGCTGATCCTCTCTTCAATAAACCCTATTTAAACCCTCCGTGTACAGATCGTCGTTGTGACAAGATTTTTATTTAAAGCAACAACGTGAGCAACGCTCGATAATCATCGTCGATATCCGAGAAAGAGAAAAACTATTTATCCATTTCCTTCCTGGAAATGAAAATTCAATAGGAGGGATCGTTCAAGAATCTGGAGAGCGCAATTTCCACTTCGTATCGTCGACGAGGAAGGGAAGAGAAGATTTATGTAAATAAATAAATAAGATGGAATCGCATCGTCGATCATCCCTCGGATATTCCCGGGTTCGTTCTCGCGTATGCAGCTATCTCTCTTTCGCCGGGAAAAGCTTTGACACAGCGTATCGATTTTTCCTCGAGCGGGGCTCACGTGCTCATTGACATTGACATTGCCCGCTACCACGGCCAGCCTACCTGCCACCTAGCGTCCACGAACCGATGCGTACCTGTCGACCAACTTCGCCCGCTCGCTGCACGATGGCGCTGCACTCGATCCCCGCCTTGCCCCGCGCTCGTCTCACCCGGTGATTCCCCAAGTTCACCGGCTTTTCGAAGGAAAATCATCGCGGATCGTCGTCGTCTCCGAGCTGTCTCCGCGACGATTTTCTAATTTTGCCATATCGAGAAGAATTTTTTAGAAGAGGAAAAATTTTGTGTTCGAGACTCTTTAAGGTTATTTCCCGAGACTGTTTAAGGTTTTGGATATAATTAGCCAAGGTTTAGGGATCGTCGTTCCTTTTTAACTTTACGAAAAAAATTTTAATCGTTAATTCTTCCTTGAAAATTCTCCGTGTGGTGTTTATTTGAGACGGTTAAAATTAATTCGTATAGGTATAGGTTACCGGACTGGGTCATTTATTTCTGAAATGGATTTTGGAACACTTGTTAAATTCGAGTTAAATTTAAAAACTTTCTCCATGAAAAAAAAAAAAAAAAGAAGAGAGAGAAAGAAAGAAAGAAAGAAATAATAGAATAGGATTTTAGAAGTTTAAGATATTTCGTTGGATTTAGCGCGTAGAGGATGGATCAGTAGGATGATCATGGTGTCGAAAGTGGGGGACGAGGATGGCAAATAGGTCGTATTCGATATTGCATAGCTGTTTGTTTTCGTGGAAGAAGAATGTGCCGATGGCCCACATTTTTAACGACACGATGGATTTCCCAACACGGCCTGGCCGAAACGCGCAACGGGGTCATTGCGCAACGGTTTTGCTTCTCTTTATCCAGACTAGAGGTCTGGCAGCATTACATAAAAGCATTTATCTGTCAGGAGCCAAGCGTCTAGTCCTGTTGAGCGACGGCCACGCTCAACACTCGCTCGCCCATCTCTCTTCCTCTCTACAGCCTATCATCATTACCATCGTTAACATCGTGGGCAATTGAAACGATACTCCTTTTAATTCCTCAATTACCTTAATCTAAATATTCAATCGTATATATATATATATATATCGCAAGATATTTTTTCTTCCTCGGAATACAATTCCATCAATGCCATCAATTTCATTGATATCTCGTTATTATTACTTAAAACGAGAGAGAGAGAGAGAGAGAGAGAGAGAGAGAGAGAGAGAGAGAGAGAGAGAGAGAGAGAGAGAGAGAGAGAGAGAGA